CTCTGCCTAAAGGGGCGGTCATAAGGCTAGAGCGGTTTCATGAAAAAATCCGAATGCATATGCTGCTTCAGTTACCACATGTCTGGGTGCAGTTTGAGACCATTCTGAGCTTCATCCAAAATAACATACACTTATAGAAGTCTTGTGATCAGTGATACGGGGTTGGCTGTTTCCTGGCCCAGGTCGGGATGGCAGCATGGCGGCGCCGATTCGGAGTCAATGAGCAGGCCCACCCTCGTGCGCCCGCCACGTCTCAACTTGACTTGAGATTAGTCCAAATTAAGAGCATGTTCGTGCAGTCTTCAACATTTGGGTTTTCTGACATGTCACGCAGTGGTCGTGACTGATTTGCTTGTGTCTGGCAACAGCTTTTCTTATCGCTGGCTGGATCAAGTTGTGGATTCCACAACTCTTTATGTGATTCCGAGCTCATTCCATACGTTTACATCGCAGCCAAAGAAATATTCAGCTCATACCAATACGGAGGTGAGAACGCAGGCTGCATCTGCCAAGTCTTCTCATTGGCTGCATTCATGGGACTCAGTGTTTGATCTGTTTTGCTTGAAGAGCTTGATTTGAGTTGAGCTACAAGCATGGAGCACGACAAGCTTCAGCGCATGCACTCTCTGATCCGCAAGCTGGCACATGTGGGAGCCCCTAAAGTCTGATGCTCAATCGGTTCGGAAGTTGAAGCTGCAAGCTGCAATGATCTAGCTATATAGTTGCAACTGTAGAGTTGCCCCACGGACCTGAAGCTTGAAGATGCTCAGGTGCTGATGGCCGTCGTTGTCCTGCTGAGCTTCGCCAGCAATGTCCGCACCTTTGCCGAGGCCGTTGCTTCTTCTGATCTTGGAGCAGTGCATTCACAGCTTCTCTTCTAGTCTGCATGGGTCCAAAACAGGTAGATTAGATTGATTGCCTGAGTACAGTGCCTCACACATGGGGGTTTCCGAAAATAGGGGGTACCTTATTCTGGGGTCCGTATAATAAGGATCCTACTATTTAGGATACTATATTAGGGTCCCCTATTTTCGGAAACCCCCACATGTATATATATATATATATATATGTATATATGTATATAGACAGGCAGTGCATGCAGGGTGTATATATGGTTAGGTATGAAATGGGAGTGTCTCTGCTGCTGCAAATAAACTACGTCGCATGTGCCAGGACTACAAGTGCATCGAGCTCTTCGCGGGGCGAGCTTGGGTGACTCGCTGCTTTCGCATTGCTGGCTTACCCACGGCATCTTTAGACGTGGCTTTCGGTGATAAGTTGCCTGATGATGCCAAACATACAATGGATCTGACCACAGCAGCTGGCATGTCGCTCCTAGCTTGCACACAGGAAGTGACAGTGGAATTTCATCAGAAGACTGAGTCCTGAACCCAAATTTTCAATCAAAGCAATAAACATCCCCCTTATCGCGAATGAGGCTGGCGCTCGCAACAATCTTGTCCGGGAAGCAGGACAACTGCCTGGTGGTGGCAGGGACAGTCTGCAGTACGTTTGTGCGTATAAATGCTGGCACGCATGGCCGCTCTATTATCAACCCTTTGGGAAGGCAGGAGCTTCCTAGTGTAAACACTGGCAATCTCCTGGTATCACGGCTGCTAGGATGCAAATCCGTAGTCATGGTTCTGAGCTGTGTCACTGTGACTGACGGTACATCCAGGATGTCGGAGTAGGTGTTTTGAAGGGATCTGGGTGACTTCAGGTCAACGGTTGGGTTTAGCTTGCTGCCGGGTAACTTAAGGTTGCAGGTTGGGTTTTCATGTACCACTGTATACGAGTACCATGGCTACTGCCACTGCTTTTATATTGCTTCTGCCAGCATTGCTACTATAGTTGTGCAGTTCTGCCAGCATTACGACTACGTCCGAGAATGCAAACCCGGAGCATGACTTGTAAATGCGAGTTGGTTGCAATGTTGGGGCCGGTCCTCGTCCTAGAACTATACTGACCCTGTGCTACTGCTTCTCTGCTGCCACACTGCTGCTGCTGTTCCTACTGTGACCCTGTTAAGCCTTCCTATATGATGATCTATTGCCTTATCTTGTTTTGAAGTCTACCACGTAAATGCTTCAGTGTTATAAAGTAGATAGCATATGGACTCAGTGGGGCCCATATAAACAATACTAAAAGGGCTGCTCCTGCCAAGAAGAGTCGTGAGTCATGTAGTGCTAGTAGTGGTCGTAGTATAGTTGTAGTTTTAAGTAGTACCAACAGATTACTACCACACCATCTAACGACTCGTTATCTACCAAACTAAGCCTCTGTAACCCATGAATTAACCAAGCATCCCTGAACGTTGACCCGAGATCGCAGTCTGGAGCTCTGCACCACAACAGCAAGATCAACTATACAATCTCGAGAACACCCGAGCTAAACACTAGAGGTCATGCATATACTAAGTGTAACACCATCCAAGAACATAAACCTGTAGCGCCGCAGACCCGAGACACTGCACAGAAGAACTCTGGACTTAAACAGGGGCCATTTATAGGGCGCCAGTAATTCACAGGCAAGAAGAAGGTATCGATTCTTTTGTAGGCCCCAAACCAGACTCATTGGAAGTGCCTGGCTGAAATTGGGTTGTAGTGTGACCTGTTGGTGAGGGGGTGGGGAGGGGCAATGTGTTTCTTCCAAGAACTGAAGAATTCTGTGTACGGACTGGTATATGCTTCAGAGTCCAACAAGAAGAGCCGTAATCATGTTAACACAAGCACATGCCTTCCTCCTAAATAGCCAGGTAGCAGCAGCACCATCCGGGCATTGCACCAGCAGTCATGCTGGTAGTAACAGTAGTAGCTGTGCAGTGCCAGTAGTGGCAGCAGCAGCGGCAGCAGAAGTAGTAGTAGCCACAGCCATAGCAGTCGCAGGCAGTAGCAGTAGGAGTACTAGCAGTAGCAGCATAGCAGAACTAGTCGCCCTGTAGTGGAACTGGTAGTGGTAGTGGTATAGTGATAGTGGCAGTGGCAGGGGTAGTGGTGGTGGTGGGAGTAGTAGCAGTATAGTACTAGTAGTAGGAGAAGAAGTAGTATAGTAGTAGTAGTAGTAGTAGTAGTAGTAGTAGTCATCTTCGTGCGAGCAGTATAGTAGTAC